CATCCACAGCCCAGCACTCCAGATCCTTGAAACACATCTGCCAGCCCATTTCCAGCCCTCCCTGGTCTGATACTTGATCCCGGGTGAGCCCTGGGGTCAGATTGGGCTGGAGGCGCTGTGTGAGTTTGCTGTGCAAGAAACCATATGTGCTTCTCCGCTGTGTCCTGTGGAGAGGAGCCACAGGTTGTTCTGCGCTGGTTTTCAGATTTCCCATGTTGTTAACTGTGCTTTGCTTTGCTTTGCCTCCGTTTCCTAAGGCTGATATCTTTTGTAAACACAGCTGCAAGGGCTTTCACCATAATCTCACTGCTTTCTGGTGCCTAACTGCGTTTTTACTGTGCTATACCATAGTGGACTTTAATAAGGCTGGTCACTGGAACTTAAAGTAAAGCTTGCAGCTTCAAGACTTAAATCAAAGATGTACTATACAAATGCGAGAGCCAGCTGGAGTCTGTATTGTACCACTTTGTACTTATACCATACTTCACCATGCTTAGTATAGTATACTGTACACTACTCTACTGCACCGTACTGTAGTGCACTGTGCTCTATAATCTCTGATTGGTTCCAGAACCTGAAAATGTTTCAGCCAATAGCCTAACTTCCACTTCATAGGTACTTAAGTGTGAAAACAATAACATTCCTGGTGAAACATTCCAGTATCATTAAAGTCATTAGCCAACGCATAAACAACAGGTACAAAAACAATAAAGCCCCTGCTCATTTACTGAGTATGACATAGGTACTATCATGTACTGTACGCACTTAACACATGTATGTCAATTGTTATCAAAATAGCAAGTTAATTCCTCATGTGAGAATTTACGAGATGCGAAATTAATGAAAAAACATTAAATGAAAAAAACAGGTAGGAATGACTACATCTCAAATAAATAAAACCTTATAGTGAGGGATTACTGAAATTACTACATTGTAGAGCAATGAGATGCAATAATGTATTACACTGTACTGTACTGCAAAATAGTGTACCTCAATGTACTATACTGCACCATACTATACTACACTCTACTACACAGTAGTGTACCATACCGAACTGCTCTACTGGACAATAGTGTATCATACTGTACTACAATCTACTGGACAATAGTGTACCTCACTGTACTGCATCATAGTGGACTATACTCTACTGGACAGTAGTGTACCTCACTGTACTGCATCATACTGGACTATACTCTACTGGACAGTAGTGTACCTCACTGTACTGCATCATACTTGACTACACTTTACTGGACAATAGTGTACCTCACTGTACTATACTGCACCATACTCTACTACACTCTATTAAACAATAGTGCACCATACTCTACTACACTCTACTGCACAATAGTGTACCTCACTGTACTACTCTACTGGACAATAGTGTACCTCACTGTACTATACTGCACAAAAGTGTACCATACTGTACTCCACTGCACACTACCGGATATGGGCAGAATGCCCCGACTCATCCATCTCTCTCAGAGAGGCCCTGATATCACTGACAGCTCAAAGCAAGCGCTATCTCCACCGTGTCCCTGCTTCCTCCTCATGTCCAGGGCAGGACCCTGGCCAAGATAACAGCCCGAACTCTGGAACTTCTCTCCCACTGCGCCCCACCTCTCCTGGAGACAGAGAGACAGAGAGAGTGGCGAAAGAGGCGTGATTTCGCCAGCCTGCCGAGGATGGCTGTAGATGCCTCTGCTGTGTTGCTGCTGTCGGGAAGCACTTCCGGCCTGATTTGCGCACTGCTGCATGAAAGTGTCACGGCTCTATACCCTCCACGGCTGAAGACTGGGGCCCGCCTGGCAGGCAGAGCTTGACCAGAAGCACGAGCCTCACTCCCCTCCCCTGCCCTGGCCTGAGTGAAACGTGGGTCCCACCACGCTGCCCGTGGGCTCTGTTGCACAGAGCAGCTCAACCCCACTCACTGTCGCCCTCCTCACAGCCTCCCCTGCTGGACATTCCAGAAATCTGCAGGTCGGACTTTCGGAGACGCAGGACGTTATTCTAGAGGATCGGCTTCTGTTCATCTGGGAGGATGAGGGGGGATCTGCTATTCCTGGAGAACAGGGGGTTCTGTTGGTCAGGGAAGATAGAGGGTTCAGTTATTCCTGGAGAGTAGGGGGTTCAGTTATTCCTGGAGGATAGGGGGGTTCTGTTGGTCAGGGAAAATAGGGGTTCTGTTATTCCTGGAGAACAGGGGGTTATGTTGGTCAGGGAAGATAGAGGGTTCAGTTATTCCTGGAGAATAGGGGGTTAGTTATTCCTGGAGAATAAGGGGGTTCTGTTATTCCTGGAGAGTAGGGGGTTCTGTTATTCCTGGAGAACAGGGGGTTCAGTTATTCCTGGAGAATAGGGGGGTTCTGTTGGTCAGGGAAGATAGGGGTTCTGTTATTCCT